GCCAGAAAGTAACTGCTACATTCAACTGCAGGCATTAGTGCCCAGAAAATAAATTCAGATCAGAATTGTCTTTTCAAAGAGGCTCAATGTAAAATGGAAAGTGAAAGAAAAATGCAGGGGCTATACTCCAACTCACATGGCCATTAAAGGTTACATTATAATTGACAGTACTTGACAGTATCTTTCAATGACAAAAGTCACACATAATTAGTAAAATTCTACTGATGGGACAGATCAGAGGTGGGGACTCGAGTCGCATATTTTTGGACTTGAGACTTGCTTGACTAACATTGATAAAAGACTTGACTTGACTTTGACTTGGTATTCATGACTTGAGACTTGACTTAAGCTTGAGAAAGATGACTTGAAAGGACTTGACTGTTTAAAATTAAATATTTGCATTTGTTTTTGTATTGAGATATTACGTTTAGTGTTTTCGAAAAACGTGATTGGGTGATTATAGCGCCGTGCGCGCAAACCTGGCAACCCACTAGACGGCAGGAGAGTCAGTTAACATGGCAGCGGCTAGCGTTACTCCACAGATAGTGAAGTTTGGATTCAAGGATTATGTTGTCGATGACGCTAAGAGAACAGCGGTATGCAGGGTCTGCAGCATAAAGAGTGACAGGACCACCACAACATCCAACTTCATTCGTCACTACAAAAAACCCCACAGAGAAAGGTGCGTGAATGTGTTGTGTTAGCTAGAAAGCTAACGTTAAGTTTAAGCTACGTTAGACTTGGTTTCAAATCGATTAAGCATTGCAAAGAGAAGACAAAACGGTAAATGAACACTAGAACCACCAAGGGATTCATTTGTACTAACCCTGATACTGACGGGCTGTCAGGAGAGAGAGAGAGAGAGAGAGAGAGGAAAGAGATGCCTCGTTTATTTCCCCTGTGTTATTATCAGAAGTTACTGTAAACTGTTGAATCATGTAGTTCATCTACTTTTAGTAGTTTGTTTAAATGTTTAATGTTTTTGTTTGTAGAAGTGCATCATTATTTGATTTATTGTAAAATGAATCTGAACTTTTTGATCTGTTATGATGATAAACTGAAGCAATTTCTAAATTAACCCAATTAAGTGAGTTTTAAATCGTCCTACTTAGTTCATAAGGAAATTATGTTGTATGTATGCTGTTGGCGGTTCTAGTGTTAACAGAAATTTAAATGAAATATGTGCAATGGCAAATGCCATATACGATTTTCTTACCTGGAGTTCTGCCTTTTTGAACAGACTGTTTGATTGAGTCCTAGCTATATTGTCTGCAGTTCTAGGGTTAATATGAATCTAATATGATTGTCATCGGTCTAAATTAGATTTCAAATGATTAACTGTGTATGTAATGAAGATCATAGTGTGGGTTGAATCCATTTTCATAACCACTGTCTTTTAACTGATTTAAATGTGGAAACTGGGCTTATTCATCAGAATTTTGTATGACTTGACTTGACTCTCACCACAGTTGGGACTTGCTTGATACTTGTAGGTCAAGACTTGAGACTTGCACATGTAGGACTTACTCCCACCTCTGGGACAGATGGACACAGTTGAGGACAGTAGGACCATATGAAGTAAAGATACTCGTTTTATACTCCACAGGAGTTAACAGTTTAATTTTATACAGAGATTAGAGACAACTTTAATCTGCATATGGATGTCGTCCACCTGGGCCCTCTGTTCAGTCTCCCCAATCTTAGACTGGACTTCCTGTTGAGAAAATGTTTAGCAACGTTAGTCTTATGGCAAGTTTTGAAAAACTTCAAGACAAATACCATAAATAAATAAATACTCATTAATCTTGGTCAGCAATGGAAACATCTGATGCATTGTGGGCATTTTGTTGCGTGGATCCATTATGATCAGGGGTCCCAACACAGAAATGTGCCTGAAGCCGTTGGATTCTGAGGTGGAAAAAAACAACAATAACTTCATAATGAAAAAGACTATACTATATAATAAAAGCATACAAGTTAGCATAAAGCGATACCCCATTCGTCTCCTCTCTTGGAGCGAGTGTTGCAGGTCCTAGAACAGCAGTCACACATGGAGCTCTGCATGGGGTCATCCAGGAGTTCCCATCTGAGGAAGCAGCAATCGTTAAGGCTCAAATACATCAGCATGGCTTTTAAAACATTTTGTATACACAGAAGAAAAGAGCTGTGATAAAAATGGTATGATGTTTCTATAAAAAACTAAAACTGGTAAATTTATAAATATCAAGTTAATGACCAAAAGATATATTTTCCATTCTACAGTGCAGAAAAAGGTTAACAATTTTACAAAAGCTCAGGCCTTTTTTTTATTTTATAAATCTCATTAGGTTGGCTAATCATTTGAGTGCCCCTCCTTTAAAACAAATATATTGTTATTCTCAAATATTTTACAATTATCATTCGTCACCAATTGTTGTCTATAGTTTTAGTTAGCAGGAGATCATTTTTTATAGATATATAAAAGCACAATACTGATCAAAGTACATGCATTGATGTACTTCAAGTTGGATATGTTGTGCTAAAAAAAGCTAGCATCCTTGGCTAATGGTGCATACTTGTTGCACATGGCATCAGTTGCATTCATCATATTAAACTGCTGGCAAGAACATTTTCACATACTTCCAACATGTCAAACTCTTCCCTTACCGCTCATTTCCCTTACATAGTGGCAAGCTTTCTGCTCTCACTTAGAACTTCAGGATCCCATGCGAGCAGTTTGCAGTGAATGTACACCTGAGGAGCACATGAAACATACATGTTTGCTAGGAAACCAAATATTCTTTAGAGCACTTTACATTTACCCCCTCACCTCGTCGCCGAGACCAAACTTGAAGGATTGCAGGTAGAGGATGATTGCAGACTAGAGTGTACCGAGGGAGAAACCTGGAGTTTCCCTTCACACTGTCCAGGAGACACCTGAAGAAATTCAGATAAGCGATAAGGACTAAACTCCAGAAAACAATGAAAGAAATCAGAGACTGGATCTCACCCCTTATTGTAATGATGGGGTACGCATTGCTGTTAGCCTGCAGCTCAGGCGTAGTGGCTGCCACACATTCCTCCATGAGCAGCAGCAATGGCTGATGGGACTTCTGCTCCACTGTTGCCCATATTGGCATGAAGGAGCCCAGGGGGATGACATTTGGTCTCCGCTACCCCATGTTATTTTTTCTGAAAAGGGGAAAAGTAAAAACGGCTTAGTGTGCATTTTTGAGTGTTTTGCCTTTGGGAGCATGAGCCCTCACCATTTAGGAGCAGCATGTGGAACTTCAGCCCTCCTCGGCCTTCGGCAACACCTGACCCCGGGTTCAGGAAAGGAGGAGCCCACTCCTTAGGTCTGAAATATATTAACAACATGTATCCCATATATCAGCTTTAAACTTGAATTTAAATAAGAAAGCAACTCCTACCTTGGATAAACACACTCGATGGGATACACATAAGCTGCAGGACTCGACTTTGGTCTGGGCCTGAAGTCAGCTCATTTTTGTAGAGGAGATTTTTCCCTTTCACCTGAAGAAAAAAAAGAAGCTCATTATGACATTGAAAAGACTGAGAGGTATTTTGGTGAAACATGGCAGTTACATTACCAGTCTTTTTAAAATTGCAGTCAGCTAGTTTGTAGTTAAACTCAGCGTTCCCCTCTCCGCTGGGCAGAACATTAAACCTAGATGGATTGCAGTTTCCGAGGAAGAGACGAGCTGCATATTGCCGCAGCGTCGAGGGGATCGTCCATGTGATGCTTATGGAGTCTTTTTCACACTGTACTTTGATTTCTGCAAAAAAAAATCATTATTATACATTTCCCTACATTCCCCAACAAAAGCAGATGTTTACATTCATGTGCTAAGCATACCTGCATTGGCAACAGTCGTTGCAAAAAGAGTCACGACTATCACACCTAGGTAGAGTTGAGTCCCCATGACTGAATGATCTGGATCACACAGGAAGTGGCACAATTTGTAGACTCCCTGCCAAATTAGCTGAACGAGCAACACCTGTGTGAGAGCAGGGCAGCATCTGTCTACTTATACTGGATGTCATTTCACATACTTGCAATTTCATTGTAGAGTTTTCATCTGGATAATTTCTAGTGCACTTATTCAAGTACATTTTTATTTATCTGCCCAATTGCTTCTTTTTTTTTGTATTCTACTGAATTTATGTTTCAACAATTACCTGATTATTTTACATACAACACTATTTATAAAACAATACAACAATTCAGATTAAACTACTTAAAGGCAATTTTCTCAAATCAGCCCAACCATAACAAGCTTCCAAGTCAATATACCTACGTTAGTAAGTCAGAGATGTGCAATTACATTTAACTTTTGTTTTAAAACATTTTTTTATGAATGATTATGGGAAGTGCCCTTTTTCTCACTTGAGCTCCCGCCCCCCAAAATGTCTGTGCACGTCCCTGGCAACAGTGGAGCAGAAGTCCCATCAGCCATTGCTGCTGCTCATGGAGGAATGTGTGGCAGCCACTACGCCAACCCTGTCTCCTAAAAATTACGTTCCCACAGAACTAAACTGCATTCTCAATTACGTTTAGCTAGAAACTTATTTTCTCCCACGTTACGTTTGTTATGAACGTATCTTATTTTCTACATATCTTCTAGAAACATATTTTCTCCCACGTTACGTTTGTTTGATTGATTGATTGATTGATTGAAAAGTTTATTAACAGCTTGTATATTGGGTACAGTACAGTACATCTCAAAACATACAATTGTTAAGGGGATGCAGACCAGAGAAAGACTTTCGTCTTGTTTACATCAGGGTCCCCCATTTCCAATTCATCATATCATTTAAGACATATAAGACATATTTGACATGCAGATGGTTTATTTACAATTTACATACAGGTGTTTTTTTTCATACAGATGGCTTATTTACAATTTTCATTTTAGATTTCGTTCTAATACATCCTAACCGGACATTTACATTTATTTAAATTAAGTTTATTTTCTACATATCTTTGCCATTTATTGTCTTGCTTATAATAATGATAATAGTCATTTATAAATATCATTTTAGAGCACACATTTGAAATCGAGAATCGGGCTCAATATATGGTTACATTAAAATCAGTAGGAGAGGCTGTAATTTCTCCAGCTGTTACTCTCATGAGCGAGGCAGAAAATAATAGTTTTTATCATGCCAAAAAGCTGCTGTGTCGTTTATTGCACCTCAAACATTAAAACAAATCCAGAGTTGCGTGTTTCTGTACTTCCTCTAAGAAGAAAGGACAGCAAAAGAAGAGCTCTGTGGCTTCAGGCTTGATCGCCGTTCAAATGACAGCGTTGGTTTCCCCAAAAGTGGGCGGGGCTGTAAAGTGACGGTGTGGCAGTGCGCCAAGGTTACGCCAAGCGTCAAGCTCTTTGAAATGGAACGAAACCACGGCAGACGTTTTCGTTTTTCCCAAAATTAGAAGTTGACAGTATTAAACTGTGTACAGCCCTGGAGGTTTAGGCGATAGGAAACAAATTGGTGTGTACAAATGTAAAACATGTAGGCTAAGTACTAAATGGGTGAAAATCGCTTGTATCCATAATGGGCAGCATTAAAGGTGGGGTCGTTAATTTTGGAGAAAACAGCTCGAGATCGCTAGAATTTGAAAATACACAGCCGGAAAAAATCTGCCACTTCCTTACAGAGCCCCTCCTCCAACACACACGAACGCGCACATGACCAATGAGGGCACGAGATAAGTTTGTGCGCAGATGGAAGGCTGACAGGCAGGTAGGCCATCCAGTTATTTTAGCTGGGCCGGCTAAAAGGATTGGTCGTGCTTTTTACAGTATTACGGCTTCCACAGATGACATTTTTTTATGGATTTTTTGTCAAAGCACTTCAGATATTCATTGCTATCGGGATGTTAAGAGCATTCCATGGAATATAACACAAAGTGTATCTCGAGCCGGTTTCTCAAACTTACCTACCCTACCTTTAATATCTTTGTACATCCAGCACTAAACTGTTTTATTGTAGAGATCACTTACAGTATCTTCTTGATTTTTTATATTCTATATTTCTATCATTGACCTTCTACTTTCCCCCTATTTTGTATGTACTCTTAATATTTTTTTTTAGCCTTTGTTTCTGCTAAAAGAGGTGTCGACCAGCTAGGGCAACAAGAAAATCGTCGAAATAGAGTGTGACGATTAAAAAATAAATTAAAAACATCTAATTTTGACAATAAAAAACGACCAATAGGCGCGGGTAGACCATTTGCTTGGCACTTCCGGGTATTTCTCCACTGGTTGGGCCATGTTAACAATACCGTGTAACTGTCACGTTTGAAGGGACGAAACCGTGACATATTCACGTCTCCCAGCATGGTAGATCGTCACATGTTCACGTCTTGCCGTGATACCGGGTTGAGGCTAACTGTACCTGTTGTTTAGAGCCGTCATTCTTACAGCAAACATACCAGTCTCCATCAAGGAGCACAAAAGCAACCCACAGCAGACCAACTAAAAAAGCCTTGAGAATGTGAAGGAAATAAAAACACCAAGGAACTTCGTGGCATTTAGTGCATGAGCACCAGTTTCTACAGGCACTTTGAAAATAACTGTTTGTCCACAGTGTGAAGAAAGTTATTATTAAGACTGGCAGAACCATGAACGAGTTGCGGTTCGCAAACGCACGCAAAGTCCTTTTCAAGCAGAATATTGTAGGTGAACTCTACCATGATGGCGGATATGGTACCCAGCTTCCCAGAAGCTATTCTCTTCAGGGTGCTTTCCATCTGTGATGTGCAGACGGCATCAGCTGGCAATTATCCTCATTACTGAGTTATGTTCTCATTATTATAGAGCTTTCTGTTTCTGCTGGAAAAACGTTATTTTCACCGCCCTGATAAAACGTTATCAGGGCGGTGAAACTCCTGGTGTCTGTGCAGGCCCGTATCCAGGATGTCGTAAATACCGAGGTCCAAAACATGCTAGTGGCTAGATATGTTATATTGATTTCACACCATGTCAGTGGGCTGCAGCATAAATGATATTTGAAAGTGTAACGCATGAGAATCAGTTGATTGCTACCAATAATGATCCACATTATAATCTGGACATGAAGAGGCCAACATGCTCACAAAACATTTGAAAAGTAATCTCTTTGTCTTCTTTCTGTTCATTACTCTCTCAGTCCTCTACTCATCACTCATTAACTGTATGCTCCTTTGTCGCTCCTGCCAGTGTATTAAAAACAATTCAGTAATTTAGTTCATTTCACTTAGCAGATAGATATATGGGGTTATTAAGCCTACATAGTTTGTGTTGAACAGAAAGTCAATGCAACCCCGGGCTCAGAAGGCTGTCCCTGCAGTTCCTCTCTGACTTCCATCTCTTTCTCTCTGCCTGTCTCGTATCTCCCTTACCAAAGCTGAGCTTGGACAGATAGTCTTTTTTATTATATCTATATCTGTGTCAGTGAAAAAGAAAATAAATGTTATCTCTTCAACCTTTAACTCAAATTATAATGAAAGAAAAACATTGAAACTCTCATTAAAAGGTCTGACATTTATTAATTAACTTTAGCTCTCTGGATATTTTATCATATTGCTTTCAAAGATTTAGTGTGATCAATATTTCTGGGAAATTGACACATAAGAAAAAAAGTTCATGACATTGAATAGACCTGGAAATATTCCCAGAAATAAGACCAGGTCATCAAGATTCAGTAATACAGCTTAGTTTAAACCATTTCACACAAAAGGCAAGTCAAACTCAATAATTTGAGAACTTCAATCAAGTAGTTCGGAAACATTTTTTTTTATTGGCCACATACAATCTGAAATGCAAAGAGAACCAAGAATAAAAAAATAAATTCAGATTGAAGAAACCAGTCAGCGAAATGGATCCATTCCTGTTGGGAGAACAACGTTTAATATAGCCGTTCAGAATAAATGTATATTGCAATACGAAACCCTTACCTTCAGGAATTCACATCTGTGATGGTAAATGGCCCAATGACTGCTTTTTGTACCATTCCATGTTTCTCTGCAAAAATATATATTTTAGTACAAGTCAACCAAACAAGTGTAATACAGCAGAAGTTGTGTACATACCTGACGCAACACTCCTCTGCCTCCTTGACTTGCATTTCGATTCACAGCAGTCACAAAGATTGCTCTGGGCCAAGTTGTCCAGCAACTCCCAACTGAGTTCATGAAGATTGGATGAAAAGATAATTGAAATGCATCTCAACTGTTCCAAATGAAGATTACACAAAGTTTGAATAGTTATGAATGGGATCCATCTGCATCTTCAGTAGACTGGGCTTAAGCTGAATAAGTCATCTCATGTAAAACAAATTAACCTACAATTCAAATTCTGATATATTAAAAGTAATATTTTTACCCATGCCCTTTGACAAAGTGGCAGGCTTTCTTAGTGCTGTCAAGACCATTGGGATCCCAAGCCAAAAGTTTGCAGTGGATAAAGATCTGTTGAGTAGAGGGAAAATATAGGCGTCATGGCATAAAT